AATGATACAGCTGCTCAAAATATTAAAAATAAAAATATCATACGCTGAAACCAGTTTGGCTTCGTGGATAGAGCATCAGCCTGCAGACTGAAAGGTCCCAGGTTCGATTCCAGTCAAGGGCAAGTACCTTGGTTGCAGGCACATCCCCGGTGGCGGGTATGCAAGAGGCAGCTGATGGATGATTCTCTCACATCAATGTTTCTAACTCTCTACCCCTCTCTCTTCCTCTCTGTAAAAAAAATCAATAAAATATGTTAATTTTTAAAAAATTAAAATAAATAAATAAATAAATAAAATATCATATGATATAGCAACTTCACTTCTGGATATAAACCCAAAAGAATTGAAAACTAAGCCTTATAGGAATATTTGTACCCTATGTTCTCAGCAGCATCATGCACAATAGCTAAGGGGTAGAAGCAACCCAAGTGTCCATTGGTACATGCATGGATAAACAAAATGTAATATATCCATACAATGAAAAACTACACAGCCTTAAAAAGGAAGGACACTTTGACACATGCTACAACATAGATAAGCCCTGAGGACATTATGCTACGTGAAATAAGCCAGTCACAAAAAGACAAATGTTGCATGATTCTTCTTATGTGAGGCACCTCGTCAAAGTCTCTATGGACAGAAAGTAGAACAGCGGTTTGCAGGGGCTGGGGAGTGTGGAATTGGAAGTTATTGCTTAATGGGCATAGAGTTCCAGTTTTACAAGATGAAAAGTTATAGAAATGGGTGGTGGCGACAGTTGCACAAAATTAATGTAATTAATAGCACTTAACTGCACATTTAAAATGGTTAGGATGGTAAATGTTATATGTATTTTACTATAATAAAAAGGACTGGAGGAAAAAAAACAACTTTATAATCTTTCGGTTCTGGGGTCAGAAGTCCAGAACGGGCTAAAATGTAGGTGTCAGCAGACCTGTTCCTCTGGAGCTTTAGGGCAGGGCAGGGAGCGCCCAGCCCTTGGGCTGTGTAAGGTCCACAAAATTATCTGGCCCAGCCCTGCAGAGGCATTAGGGACGAGTTAATTGTTTGACCAAATATAGCAGGCTAATTTTTAAATTGATAATTTTGTATGGCCAACAAATGATGCTAGAAATATCCAAATGGCCCTTAGCAGAAAAAAGGTTCCCCACCCCTGCTAGGGGAAAATCAGGTTCCTTGAAACCTTTTCCAGATTCTCATGGTTGCCTCATTCTTTGGCTCACGGCCCCTGCCTCCATCTTCAAAGCACCTAGCTCCAATAGCTCCAACCTCTGCTTCTATCATATCACCTTCTCGCCCTCTGACCCTCCTGTCTCCTTCAACGGACACTCAGGATTCCATTGGGCCCACTCAAATGATCCAGGATAATCTTTCCATTTCAAGATTTCTAAGTTAATCACATCTGCAAAGTCCCTTTTTGCTACATTGAGGTTCTGGGGATTAGGACATGGACACCTTTGGGGATTAGGACATGGACATTTTTGGGAGTATGGGGGGGGGGGTTCATTTCCCATAGGCGATGTAGAGTGGTAGAAGATGAGCTGAAGAAGGTTAGCAAGGAATTGGACATTTGGGGTTTCCTATTAATTCTAAATTGTAAAACGAGTACCTTCTAATTTACTTTTATAAAATAAGCATCCTTTAAAAAATATATTTTATTTTTATTTATTTATTTTTTTAATATATTTTATTGACTTTGTACAGAGAGGAAGTGAGAGAGATAGTTAGAAACATCGATAAGAGAGAGTCATCAATCAGCTGCCTCTTGCACACTCCCTACTGGGGATATGCCCGCAACTAAGGTACATGCCCTTGACCGGAATCGAACCCGGGACCCTTCAGTCCCCAAGCTGACACTCTATCCATTAAGCCAAACCGGTCTCGGCCATAAAAAATATATTTTATTGTTTCTAGAGAGGGAGAGAAATATCAATGATGAGAATAATTAATAGGCTGCCTCCTGCATGCCCCACACTGGGGATCAAGCTCACAACGCAGGAATCCTGATCAGGAATCTAACCATGACCTCCTGGCTCATGGGTGGACACTCAACCACTGAGCCATGCCAACCGGGCTCTAATTTACTTTTTAATAAAGTACCCAGGCTGCTGGGTGAGGAATAGGCTGCAGGTAGAGATGACAGCATTTGCTGACAGATTTGAGCTAAAAATGTCCACACTGGTGTGCACGCTCCCCGAGAAGTCACCTGCACCCCAGCCTCAAAGTCTGGCATGTGGAGAAGCAGGCACTCTCCACACAGGAGGAGGATGCCCAGCAGGACTGTAAACAGAGGTGTCTCTGGGTGGCTCCTTTGAGGCTGGAAGTCTCTTTGTGGACCAAGGGCAAAGCAGATAAGATAAAAATGACCTCACAGTCCCATGGTGCCCATCCCCATGCCCTCCTGCTGAAGGAGCTTCTGTTTTTTCCATTCCAGTTCTTCATCCCTATGAGTTTAAGGAAGGTCTTTGGGTTTTCTAGAGGCATAACTGGGAAAAAATGAGGAGAGGAAGGCAGAATCAGAGAGACAGACAAAATCAGAGACAGGAGACCTCTGGGTGCTCCCTGCTTCGACTTCACAGCCTTTGGCTGTAGCATATGTGCAGTCATCACAACACATTCTGCCCAACCAAATGAGATCATCCTCAACCCTCTGGTAAGTGTATCACCCCTCCGTATGCATCTGTGTTTGTTTAATAGTCTTAGAACTGAAGATCCAAAAAGATTTTAAAAGGCATATAGTTCCACCTTTAACCCGATGCTCTTCAACGTGCTCATCAAATCACCGGATAGCCTCTGCTTGCACATCCCGGGAAGCCCAGTATGAATCAAAGCACCTCATTCCGTGGATGGCCAACCCAAACTGTCAGACAGTTCTTTCTTAAGCCTGTGTCCCATTGTGCCATTTCCACCACTCTGCCTCAGGGCTCCACTCCAGAGAAACACAGAATCAATCTATTCCCTCTTCTCTAGCAAAGCCCATTCTGAAAGGAAAGTCTCTGTTCCCTTTTTCTCCCCTCCCACCAACCCCCCACCCCCAATCCTGGTCACTGTTTGTTGGACAGGCTATAGTTTTCCCACACCTTTTTTCAGAATGTGGGTCTGGAAGGAGACCCAGAACTCCTGGAATGGCCTGACTGGCCAGAGGAATGGGACCACCACCTCCTACACCTTCCAAGGCTCAGACTTCAGTTCCAGCAGCCTCAGTTCCCGCCCACTATTTTTTAGCTGCTCCATCACAATCCTGATTTATATCTTGCATCCTGTTGCGTAAAACCTTAATTTTCATGCCCATGTCATGAGCAGCATTAGTTTGCATGTACACAGTATTCATTTAAATATGCCCCACTGCTTTATATTTATGTTTGGAAAATTATGCTTATATTTTAGTACTAAACACAAAAGAAGACTCTCTGGTTCTCTTTCTGATGTCTAAGGAACACAGACACTGATAAAGCTACAGAGAAGGGGCAGAGTAGGGCCTGAGAATGAATCTGAATATCCAGCACAGACTGCGAAGCATTTATTTTTTTCAGTAGTCTGTGTGGCCTCAAGTCAAATTTACAGTTGGAGGCAGGACATGAGAGGGAAATAGAGGGAAAAGGGCAGAACTTGGGAGCCTAGCAAGCCCGGTTCAAATCCCAGTACTACCATGTCCCACTTGGGATCTTGGGCAAGTTGCCTCAACTTCTAGAGCATCTGTAATCAGGGAAACAATATTCCAGTGTTCTACCTTAAAAACAGCTGTTCTCTGGCAAATTTGCGTTTCTAATTTCAAGTGCTTGATTATTCAGGTGGCATATTACATTCCTAACACTTCAGTGCCTTCATAGAATCCCTCTTTAGTTTCCCGTTCCTGCCTCTCCCACCAGCCAACCAGCCACAGAAGGCTGCCCCAGCTGTACATTTGGCCAAATCCGGACCATAGCATAGGTGTCCCGGTCCCCAACCTGTTCCTTAGCAGTGGGAGGACCTGAGTTCTAATCCCGTCTTTGCCATTTAACTGAATGACCCAGGACCTCCCCAGACCTCAGTTTCCTCATCCCTATAACCGGGATAAACACATGTAAGGGGGTGTATGGAGAGGGAGAGGGAGAGGGAGGGGGAGGGGGAGGGGGAGGGGGAGGGGGAGGGGGAGGGGGAGGGGGAGGGGGAGGGGGAGGGGGAGAGGGAGAGGGAGAGGGAGAGGGAGAGGGAGAGGGAGGGGGAGAGGGAGGGGGAGAGGGAGGGGGAGAGGGAGAGAAGAGAGAGGGGGGGAGAGAGAGGGGGGGAGAGAGAGGGGGGGAGAGAGAGGGGGGGAGAGAGAGAGGGAGAGGGAGAGGGAGAGGGAGAGGGAGAGGGAGAGGGAGAGGGAGAGGGAGAGGGAGAGGGAGAGGGAGAGGGAGAGAAGAGAGAGGGGGGGAGAGAGAGGGGGGGAGAGAGAGGGGGGGAGAGAGAGAGGGAGAGGGAGAGGGAGAGGGAGAGGGAGAGGGAGAGGGAGAGGGAGAGGGAGAGGGAGAGGGAGAGAAGAGAGAGGGGGGGAGAGAGAGGGGGGGAGAGAGAGAGATGGAGGGAAGGAATAAAGGAGGGAAGGAGGGAGGAAGGGAAAGCGGGGGAAGGAAGGTAGGAAGGGAAAGAGGGAGGGGGGGAGGGAGGGAGGGAGTAAGGGAGAAGAGAGAGGGAGGAAGGAAGGGAAAGAGGGAGAAGGGGGAGGGAGGGAGGAAGGAGGGAGAGGGGGGAGGGAGAGAAGTGTTCTGTAAAGCACCAGGGACAATAGTCATTTGGTACCTAGAGCGGAGATGAAACACAAATCACCCTTCGGAGGAAGAAGGTGCAGGCGGGACTCCCCACTGCGTATGCGTGAGGGAGGCTGGTCCCCGTAACCGGATTGGGCAGCTCGAAGCGGGCGGGGCCTGGGGGAAGCAGAGCTTCCGGCCGCCTGCCCCGCGGTTGCCAGGGTGACAGCCACCGGGGGCGGAAGGAGCCGGCGGTGGCGCACTGCAGACGCGGGAGCCGCGGTGGCCATGGCGGCCTCGGAAGCCGGACGTCGGAGCTGGTGCTTGCGCCCGGAGATGCCGTCCGCCACCTTCTTCACGGTGCTGATCTCGCTCCTGGTGTCCGGGCCCCGCATGCTCCTGCTCCTGGAGCAGCCGACCCTGCCGCCCTCCGGCCTGGCTCTGCGGTCCGATTACCTGCACGGCTGGCAAGGTGAGCGGGGCGGGCTCGAGAGCCTGGTGTCAGCCCTTTTCCTCCGCCCTCGCCAGGCCCTGGGCTTTGGCCTTCCCGCACCCGCGCCATCAGACCTTCCCTCCAGCCACTCCATCCGCATCATCATCATCTTTTCCACCCGGAGGACCAGCCCCACATTCCACGCCTTTGTCTCTCCGGAGTCCCCCTCCGCCGTCATTGCAATTTTTCCCTACCCTCATGTGTTCCCTTCCCTGTCTCCGCTGGGCTGACGAAGGCCCCCACCATTCATTCGCTAGGAAGTAGGTTTCCTTCACCCATGCGCACGATCCCAGGATTTTCCCCCTCCCCCTCCCTTGTCATACGCACGCACACTCAGGTCTGCTTTAGGGCCTACCTCCCTCCCACTGGAATGTCTTTCCCAGCCTCATGTCTTCATCAAGACAATACGGCTTTATCTGTGGCTACCCCTGTATAAGCGAACTGGCCTGCTGAGGTTTGGAATGTCTTCTGATTCTGCGTTTGTATCTAAATCCTGACTCATGATTCCCAGCTCATGGGGGGAGGGGCTAGATTTCTTTGGGGGAGAGAAATTTCCAGAGCAATTGCGTATAAACATTTGCTCATAAAAATTCCATTCTTTTCTGGGGAGGAAGTGGGGAATGTATATGACTTGCTGTTTTGCAAAGCAATTTCACATGATTTAATCCTGTCGATGATCCCATTATTTAGGCTTTATTATGGCCCATTAGATGAGACTGAGGCCTAATGCAGAGACACAGAACGATAAGTCAGTTGAAACAAGAACCCAGATTTTTCTTCGTGTGATGTTTTGGAAATGGATCTTTGGGGTATATAATCCCCAAATCATATAGAGTTGCTTCTAGAAGCTTCACATTATACTTGAAATTTTAGCTGTGGAAGTATTTGACAATAATGATGTACCCTTCAGATAATGAAGCCTAACAGAGATGGTCTGGCTGAGGATTATAACCTGCCTCCCTGTTCAAATCTAAAGCTTTCCCCTACTGCTGGGATACAGAGAGGTCATAGACAGATGCAAAATGTCAGCCTAGACTGAGCTCCCCTTTTTCTTTAATTTACAGCTTCCCTGAGTGTGGAGTTCGTGGGCATATGAGTATTAGACACATAAAAGACCTCAGAAGGCCTCAAGTGTAATCTCTTACTTCACAATGAGGAAATAAGCCAAGAGAGAGGCCCAGGGACTTGACTAAGTTCAGCCTTCCCTTACATAATAGAACCAAGATTCCACTCCAAGTCTTTAGGCTCCAAGGCCAGTAGTACTGCCACTTCACCAGTCCCCCTGCTTCAGTTTAATGTTTTGGCCTGCAAGGATAAAAGTACGTAAGACATGTCTGCTTTTAGAAAAGTTAAATAATTTGTTGTCTTATTGCACATAAAGTGTCACTCTACCTGTAGGATTGGGTAAGCAAGACTTCTCAGTTTTACACCTATATTATTAGTGATAATTTTATATTTAGACTAGAGGCCTAGTGCACAAAATTCATGAACGGGGGTGGGGAGGGAGGTCCCTCAGCCCGGCCTGCAACGATGCCAGCATCCCACACCCCAGCTGGCCTCACCAGAGGCCCGCCCACTCTCCTTCTGCGGGCCAGGGTACACAGGACGCTAGGGCTCATGGTCTGGGCAACACCACCAGCGTCCAGTGCTCTGGCCACTATGGGCGCTGCCATCTTTGTGACAGAGTGATGGTTAATTTGCATATTAGCCTTTTACTAGAAATGATTATAGTGATCTTTATAGATACAAAATAATTCATGGTCCCTTTTTTCTTCCTCTGAACAGCCACTATGGAAGGAGAGGTCAGGATTACAGCCGAGGAGACTGGCATACAGAGTGTTAAGGGACACCCACTCAATCCACCCTGAAGCTGTTACAATTAATTAACCCTCAAACTGCCTGGTGAGATAGGTCAGTATTAAAACCTAAAAAGGGGCATAAAGCAAATTACAAATTCAAAGACCATTTCGTGCTAGAAGTGTTTTTTGTTTTGTTTTTCCCACATGGAAATCAGTCACTGATGAGACTTATTCCAGTTGTGGGAAAGAGCAGGGATTTAGACATTTATGCCTCTATTTTGGGTTCTGATCATTGTTGCTTCCTATTGCTTATCTTGGCTCCTGGCTGGTTTTCACTGGTTCTCAGTGCTCTATTTTAGGAGCTACTCCCCCTTTTCTAGGTGGGTTGTAACCTGTCTTTCCCACCTTGGAGCAACCCATTGTCAGCCCTCTAACTCAACTCCCTCTACAGTTTACAGGCTGGTGACCTACATCTTTGTCTATGAGAATCCAGTTTCCCTGCTCTGTGGTGCTGTCATCATCTGGCGCTTTGCTGGCAATTTTGAGAGAACCGTGGGCACCGTCCGCCACTGCTTCTTCACCGTGCTCTTCGCCTTCATCTCTGCTATGATCTACTTGTCATTTGAGACCATGTCATCGCTGTTGAGGTTGGGGGAGTTGGAGCCTGCCAGAGGCTTCACCCCAGTGGCCTTTGCCATGCTGGGAGTCAGTGTTGTCCACTCCCGGCTGAGGAGGGCCCTGGTATTCGGCGTGGTTGTACCCTCAATACTGGTGCCATGGCTCCTGGTGTGTGCCTCCTGGCTCATTCCTCAGACCTCTTTTCTCATTAACGTCTGTGGACTTGGAGTTGGGCTAGCATGTATCCTTCCTAGAAGGGAATGATAGAACGTTGACATCCCAAAGAGTAAACCAAGTTGAAGAGTCTAGAAGGGTCATGTAGATAGACCCATGGTGTCAGATATAGGTAATCTGGGTTAAAGCTTTCAGCTTTGAAAACCTCACGGTCTTGGGTAGATCTGTTGCTTCCCTCGTCTAAGCTGGAATTTCCTCTGGAAAATATCAATATAGCTCTCTTTTCATGCCAGCTTAGTGTTTCCAGTTAGTAAAATATTCTGATTTAGCCCTGGCCGGTGTGGCTCCATTGTTAGAACATTGGCCCATGTACCAAATGGTCTCGGGTTTGAATTCGGTCAAGGGCACGTACAGTTGCAGGTTCAAGTTCCGTTCTGGTTGTGGCCAAGTGCAGGAGGCAACTAATCGATGTGTCTCTCTCACATTGATGTTTCACTCTCCCTTTCTCTCCTTCCCTTCCACTCTCCCTAAAAAATTAATTGAAAAAATATCCTTGCCCTAAAATCTTCGTTGTCTGATACTAATCATTATTCCAACTTTCTACTTTCTTAAAATTGGGATTTACATGAAGCAAATCAATTTGCATTGAAGCTTGACCAGAAGTATATATACACACACATATTTAATATATTTTATTGATTTTTACAGAGAGGGATAGAGAGTTAGAAACATCAATAAGAGAGAAACATCAATCAGCTGCCTTCTGCACACTTCCTTCTGGGAATGTGCCTGTAACCAAGGTACATGCCCTTGACTAAAATTGAACATGGGACCTTTCAGTGTGCAGGCTGATGTTCTATCCACTGAGCCAAGCCAGTTAGGGCTCATCCTTATATTTTTAATGTCTTTATATTCAAAGCGTGTTTCCTGTGGATAGCATATAGTTGCTTCTCCAATCCTTGCTTTTATTTTTAATTTTTATTTTTAATACATTTTTATTGATTTTAGAGAGGAAGAGAGAGAGAAACATCAATGTGAGAGCAAAACATTGATTGACTGCCTCCTGCACAATTTCCACTGGGGATTGAGTCCGCAACCTGGACATGTGCCTTGACTGGGAATTGAACCTGCAACCCCTCCATCCCTGGGATGATGCCCAACAAACTGACCCACACCGGCCAGGGCTCTGCCCTCTCCTTTTGCTGGACCTTGTTCCCTCTGAGGTATAGGGGATGGAAATTTAAATTTTGTTTTCCCCTGAGCTTGAAAAACCAATCAGAGTTTATGATGGACTAATGCCCCTGTATATTAAATGTGGGAATCTGTATTCTTCTCTGGGGAATGTTCGGCACTCCTCTCTTTAGCTGCCTCCAATTTTCCTTAATATGCCAACATCAGATAGCCTCACATACTGCTGTCCCGTTGACATCTCAGAGAGAAAGGCATTGAAGCTTGACAAGGAGTTCCCTTTCTGCCTTATGAAGAAGATTACGATATTCAAATACATCTCAAGTTCGTCGGCCGAAAGAAGGGCAGCCCAGAACCGGAAGTAAGTTACAGAACTCTTAAATCTTATTAAAGTAATTCCAGGGCCTGTAGATGGTGTGACTAGTTCAGTGTCACGGGAAAAAAGGAACAGGATGTGAGTCGCCCTGGGCCCAGAAAATCTATGCACAGATGTCTTCTGAGCACTCTAGATTCTGGCCAACTGCATCTGAAGTAGGAAGTGAGCAGGAATGGGAAGGGGGAAGGCATTAGAAGCACTTGTGAGTGAGTGACAGCCAGCTTGAGGGATGGTCCTACACAGTGTTATTACCAGCCCTCAGCACTGACAAGCTCTCTGCAGGTTGGATTGGGCTCTAGCATGGCACACTGGTAAGAAGCACAGACAGGCCACACAGCTGACTTGGGGGCTTAGTAGGTAGCACTCCCCAAGACATGAGAGACCAGGTATTCTTGGCCACCCAGCAAGAAAAGGTGAAGTTTACTATTTCTAGTCCAGACTCATTAACTCTCAATGAACAGTGTAAGCAAACTGTCAGAGCTCTTGTAGCCTCATGCTTCCTTTTAGAGAGGAGGCCCGAAGAGGATAAGAGTCTTTCTCCATGTAACACAGGCAGGAGAGCTCAGTCTAGAGCGAGGGTCCCCTGCTTCCAGGTCTTCCTTACTCCCTTTCCACTGTGCCACTCTGTCAGCCTCTTGTCCTCCTTGGGTTCCTGTCCATGCTCAGATGACACAGTTCCCTCAATAGTAAGTGCCCACTGTGAAGTCAGGATGCCAGTGGCCCCTTTTTGCCTTCAGCCATCTGTGAGGTAGATTTTGTCCTCTGTGACTGCCTGGATATGGAATTTGGGATAAATTGGAGGCTGCTCTTATTTCAGGAGGTGGACATTCTCAGCCTTCACAGGCTCAGAGCCCTTTGACCATTTTTTCAAAAGCACATATTTGGGGAGGTGGATAATTGCAAAAATAAAAAATGCGCATTCACTGACTGCTCCAGACAAGTAATTCCTGAGCCTAACTGTGTGGGAGACTGCTTAAACATAAAATGAGGTGAATTGCGGCTTTTGGACTTTTAATTGTTCTCATGGAGTCTAGAGAGGACTTAAGGGTCCTGGAATACAATATCCCACTCTGTGAAAGAGTCCCCTCTGAAACAGCTGGCTGTGGTCAAGGTCACCCAGTCTTAACTCACACCCCCTAGTGGCTGGGAGCTCACTCCAAGGCAGCCCCTGATGAGAAAGTTCTTCATGTTGCATTGCAGTCACCTCTCTATAACTGTAACTCACTGTGCCAGTTGTGATCCTGCTTCACCGTGACATTCAGATCTGGGTGGGGGACATGGTAACTTTTGCAGTTCTCCCATGTTTGGTCCCTCATTATCCTGGCCTGCTATAGGTACCCAGAACAGGGCACAGTGTCAGGTGGTCTGACAAGGCACACGGGCAATATTACAGTATGTGTTTGGGCAGTTGACATGGCTGTCTAGACAGCTTTGCCTCCCTAGAGGCTCTTTTCTGATAGGCCAAAACCTCTACATTTTAAAATGTCCTGGAAGTCCTATTAAGTATCTGGTGTCAGTGCTTGTACATTTGATTTGTAAGGTCAGGTTTTAATTACAATCTACACAGGTTTAGTCCCATTACCTAACAGACATCAATGGTATTGGCATTCATTCTCCATATTTGGAACTTCACACAAAAGTTCAGAGGATAAAACTTAGGCTGTGCCTCCATTCACAGGCTCAGCCACAAGTGTTTGTTTTGGGGTCTTGAGCCTCAGCACAGATAAGCTCCCCACACCTGTCGCTTTGGTTTCAGCCAGCCAGGACTGTGAGCTGTGAGTGAGTGTTCCTGAAATCGCAGGTAGAAAAATCTCACAGCAGACCAGGCCTGGGCCCAAGCCCTTTGTTACCCCATTAGAGTCTTCCTACCCTTCTTCCAGAGGAATGGATCCTTTCTCTTTGGGTAGAATTGCTGAGCCAGCCGCTGATTACTGTGATTTGGTCCCCATCTCCACCCAGTTTGCAAATTGTTGCAAGTAGGTTACACTTGGATGGTCTCACTCATGAGCTCAATAGCCCTTCCTCCTGCTGGCTTGCTGCAGGACCATGAGTGGGACATTCCCTCTCTGGGCATCTGTTTTCTGTTTGGTTGAGTTTATTTTTTTTATTTTTTATTTTTAAATATATATTTTATTGATTTTGTACAGAGAGGAAGGAAGAGAGATAGTTAGAAACATCAATGAGAGAGAGTCATCGATCAGCTGCCTCCTCCACCCCCCCTACTGGGGATATGCCCGCAACCAAGGTACATGCCCTTGACCGGAATCGAACCCGGGACCCTTCAGTCCCCAAGCCGACGCTCTATCCATTGAGCCAAACCGGTCCTGGCTGTTTGGTTGAATTTAATGTTTCTCCCTGGTTAGTACTTAAGAGTCCGTTACAGCAGTGTCCGAAGCACATTGTAATATGAAGTAGCACAGTGACCCCAAGCTTTTCTCTTGTGGAATGACAGCTGAGGATGCTATGTGCCTTGGCATTTCTAGCTGAATGACCATTTTTTCTCTTGTTCCATTCCAGGCTGAACCCTGTGCCCGGCTCCTACCCAACACAAAGAAGCTGCCCTCACATGTTCCCAGTCCCCCTTGTTGCCCAGATGCAGCGTGCCAGTGGCCAGAAACTAGCTTCCTGGCCAGCCTGTGCTCGTGGGCACATACCCAGGCTGCCTCCCTACCAGCCTGCCTCCGGCCTGTGTTACGTGCAGAACCATTTTGGCACAGTCCCTAACTCCTGTGTCTACCCAGGTTCTGTAGCAGTCTCCTTAGGGGTCCAGCCCCTCATTCCCCTCAACTGCCCTGCCACTAAATATTCCAGGGCCTTGCCCACTCCAGAGCCTACAAAGTCCAAGGAATGCTCAAGGGTTCTGATTGCTTGATGGGAAATTTTAAGGAAATCATCTTACATCTGATCTTCTGAAGAAGATCCTCCTGAACTAAGGTTTTCTTGACAAAAAAAAAATATTTATTAAGCACCTCTGTGCCAGGCTCTGTGTTGTGAGTACTTTGCTATATGTCCTTATTCATTTTTTAAAATATATTTTTATTTATTTCAGAGAAGAAGGGAGATGGGGAGAGAGAGAGAGAGAGAGAAAGAGAGGGAGAGGGAGAGAGGGAGGGGGAGAGGGAGAGGGAGAGAAACATCAATGATGAGAGAGAATCATTGATTGGCTGCCTCCTGCACACCCCCTTCTGGGATCGAACCCACAACCCAGGCATGTGCCCTTGACTAAAATTGAGCCTGGGACCCTTCAGTCCGCAGGCCGATGCTCTATCCACTGAACCAGACAAGTTAGGCCCTTATTTCATTTTCATGACAACTTTGTGAAGCACAGTTTATTGTCCCCATTTTGTAGCTGCAGAAGCAAGACTGATTACATGACGACGCCTAGCTCTGTAGTGGCATAGCTGGGCTCCTTGGTTGTCAGTAGCCACCAGTGGTCAGTTCCAATTTTGCAATTCCTTCTTGTCACTGTGTATAGTACTCTTGACTGTATAGTGTCTGTGTCTGTCCTTTGGGACCTCCCAGCTGGTGTGCTCGGCAATCCGCAGGCATATGTAGTGTTTTTCCCCCCGCAGTGACTGCTCACTCCCGCTCCTTAAGACTTCTGCCCTACAAGTGGTGAGAAGGACCAATGTGAACCGCAGCAGCATGCTGGTGGATACATAGTGTGGATTACCTTTGTGTAAATAAACAGCCTCTAACCTGGTTTGTGGTCTGTGTTATCCGGCTGGGGAACATGGAGAGCAGGATTTGGGCAGGGATGATGGTGGGGTGTGATAGTGAAGTGGAAAGATCTAGCAGAGGTCAAGTTAGGCAAATGGCCTCCCACCCGATGGGGATCTGATATGGGAAATGAGCTGCAAAGGTGCTTGGAGAACTAAAAGGACAGACAGGAAGGTTTGGCAACCTTGAGATTGGCAACAGCAGGAAGCCATTACTCTTAGGGAGGAGAGGGTGTTACCAGAGCCAGAATTGGGACCACAAGAAGGACTCCCTGGCAAGACCTTATACTAAGGAGTGGGTGATACGGGCACTGGCAGTGATAGCATCTGAAGCAAGAGCCCTCACTTCTCCACCTGTCCTCTAGCATCAGGGTCTCCCATGGGCCAAATTAATCAGGAACCTTTTGGCAAGTGAGCCCAGGAAATGTAGTTTTGGGTGGAGGGGCTCCTTTGATGCAGAACAGGACAGGTTGTGAGCCTGAGGGGAGTGCATGGCTTCTATAAGCCATCACCCGGAGCTCCTCGCAGTGGGCTCACATTGAGAATGCATGCCAAGTTGCAGGTGTTTTCATGAATATCCTAACACATGACATTTGTTAATTCCAGGAGCCAGATGGCTTACTCTGGGCTGGCTCCTTGACACATTCTTGGTATTAGAGGCAATAAGACACCTATAGATCCACCCAGTCCAGATGAGGGCAGACAGTGACAGGCACCTACTCTACACAGGGGTTGGGGGATGAAGCACAGAGGATGACTCCCCAGGGGGATTGTGAAATAGGGATGCTAGCTGAGAAGCTGGGTGCCCAGGTCTGCAGTCACAGCAGGTCTGGCAGGGTCTGGCCTGGGACCTATCTCCGACCGCATCTGGCATCTTTCCCATGGTGTCATTCAGTGAACACAGGCTGCTATGTGTTACTTAAACTTTCTCCCTCCACCCCAGTCCCAGGCCTGGACCCAGAAGCAGATGAGAGGGTACCTGCTCCCAGTGTGGCAGGGTGGCATCCCTCGTGTCTGCCTTCCTGTGTGGACTGTGCTGTGGAGCTGCGGAAGCCGTGGGCCTTGGGATCACCAGTGGTTAGTTCCATTTCCTGGTCTGGCTGGGGCCCTCTCACAGGTCCCCAAGTAACTGACTTGTGAGGGTCCTCAGAGGTCCTTGAGTCCAACCGTCTCCTTTGCCCTGGTTTTACTAGTGGAGTTCCAAGGAGGCAGGCTGGTGCTGGCAGTGCAGCCAGCAGCAGCCCCTGACTTGGGCCCCTGCCACACTGCTGTGAGACTGGTTCTTAGTCTGTTCCTCTTGGCTTTCATTGATCTAGCCACAGCTAACCCAGAAGCCTGGACCGAGGTCAGAGGGGCCATTTCTCCCCTCAACATACATTTTAGAGGACCTACAGGGGATCCAAAGCCCCTCCTCATCTTCCTATTGAGTCATCCACTAGTGTGTCCCATGTCTGAAAACAGTGTCTGCCAATCCTCAAGTCGGAGCTAGAGATTGAGATGAAAGTCCAAATCCACCCAGGTCAGTGAGATCAGAGAACCCCCAACACGAGGCTGATGCTCAATAAATATTTGTTGAACAAATGAACAGGTGATCCCTGCCTTTGGGGGTAACTCAGGCCAGGTGTGAGGGGAGGGACAGGGAATGGATAAACAAAGAATTGTAATCCAGCCATACTTTCCAGGTGCTTAGAAGGCCCCTTGACCAGCCTGGAAAGCTGGGAATCAGATTTGCCTCACACCCTTCCATGGAGAGTGGGCTTTGGAGGGAGGGAAGGACAGCACCAACCATGTCCTCTGGCTGTTGTTAGGAGAATGAAAAATACAGCACATTCAGCATAAAGGAGAGCCATTATTCCCTGCATTCCAAAAAATGTCTCCTATGCCCAAGACAGGGCAGGACACCAGCCAGAGAAATTTCTAGCAGTTTCTTTTCTTCAGCAACAGGAGGCAGCAGAGAAGCAGAATTGCACTATGATAGCCCTCTATGAACCTCCCCTGGGGCCTGCTATGTTCCTCAGCCCTGGGGGTAAGGGAGGAAAACAGCTGGCTCCTAGGACAGTGTAAGGGCATGTAATGAGCATTCTGCAAGGGTTCCTTCCTTCAACACATGTCTATCTTTTTTCTTTCTTTTAACACATACTTTGTGAGCAACTACTGAGTTCCAGGCCTGTCTTGAGCTTTGGGAACATAAAGATGGAAAAGAACCAGCCTTTCCTTCCATGCACTCCTAGTTCATTAAGGGAGACATGCTGTGGGGAGTTAGTCTGAGAGGAGCCCACCTGGGAGAGTCAGAGAAGAGACTTCTGGGAGGAGGAGAGTTAACCAGGCAAGGGAGGGGCCAGGAGGACAGAGGGTGACCGTGTGAGCAAAGGTGGGGTCCAGTAGGTGGGGCAGAGGCTGAGGGTCGGACAGGAAATTGATGGTTGCAGTAGCCCAAGATGGAAATGAGGAGAACCTGGCATGAGGCCCTGACCAGTGGGGTTGGACAGACAGAAACAAAGCCTAGATAGAGCACAAATGACTTTCTGGAGCCACAAGGAGAGTGTGGCCAAGCTGAGAGTGTACCAGTGTACATACACATAGCGTTCCCATTGAAGTTCAGTGCTCCTGTCTTGCCTGAAGGTGCCTGCTTGCTCACAGGGAGTGGGAGTGGGGAGCATTCAGAGTAGGGTCGAAAGTAGGACAATCCAGTAGGATGAAGTTTCCCCAAACACAGAATGGGGGAGGGAAGAGAAGGGGAGCTGACCATCAGAGTGGGTGCTGGACCCTTGGGCTCCTGAATCTCACAGGGGGACCACCCCAACCTCTATCCCAGGATGCTTCCTGGGCTCTGACGTCTATGCCTAGAGAGTTGTTAGCTGTAAGAGCAGCACCCTAATCTGGACCTGAAGCTTGGGGCCATCTTCAGATCACAAGTAGCCTGGAACCTTGCTCCATGGTTCCGGTTTGTACCTAGATCTGCTCCCCCAGGAAAATCTCCAAAGAGTTGCCTGCCCAACTGTGCCCCTGACCCATGACCAACTCACATCCTAAAGCTGCCAGCTTAAGGGAATTCCTCCTCCTGGGGGCCAAGCTGCAGCCCCCCAGGCACCAATGACCAGGCAGGCTGCCCACTGAGGTGGCTCTGGACAGCTCAGGCCTTCCCATGTCCAAGGCAGTTGGAACCATGCAGTCCCCAGGCCTCCCAGGCCCTCTCCCCCCTGCTGATGCTGACACACACCCTACACAGGCATAAACACACAACATTTTGAGCTCACAAATCTGGGGCCTCATCCATATATTAAGTTCAAACAGGTAGATATGCACCCACAAAAATGCACATGTATGTGGTTAATGCACATACCTACATGTATTCATACCTATCCATGCACAAAATAATGCTTAAGTTGATCTGTGCACAAGTACACACTGTACCTGCATGCATGTATACATGTTACTTCACAGAGCAAAGCAAGCACTCCCTCTCCCTCCGCCTTGTCCAGCATGATTTTAGTCTACCTCCCCAATCTTGTCCCCACCACCTTCCTGCCTTTCCCCAAACACACCATGCTGCTGGCACTGTGTGAAATAACCAGACAGCTGGCAGGACGCCTCTGGAAAGGCTCACTTCACGAGCAGGTGTGACCATTTGTGGTCCATAACGAGGACAACTGGAAAGTCCTCTAAACCTCCCATTCCATTTGCCCATCATACCCTTCCTGGAATTGCATCATCAGGAGCCATTGCTATGAATTAGGCTCATCAAACATTGAGGAAACTCTGTAAAAGATCCTGAGTCCAGCCCTCACACTGCATTCAGGATAGGGAGGCCCAGAGAGAGAAAGTTATTGGCTAAGGACGCACAGTGAATCTGTAACAGAGCCAGCAGAGAACTCAGGTCTCTTGACTTGTTTTTGCTCCCTCCACTGCTCTGGTCATTGGCTGGAGGAGTGAGCTGGTGAACAGCTAAGATTGCAAGCAGGTAGGGACTCTCATGTGAGCCAGCTGAGCTCGCTTGGGGGTGCTGACTCCAGGAGGTCAGGCGTAGACACTGGGTCCCAGTGTTCAGGAGTTATCCTGAGGCCCTCTACTAACAGACTCTTCTGGGGGGGCGGGGGGAGAGGGTGTTGGCTTATGGGAGCACTCCAAACATTTCCAGGATGGCTGAGAGACC